AGCACTGCGCCCTGCGGAGGACTGCTGCCCCCTATGGAGCGGTGCGCGGGAGGGGTGAAAATGCAGTAGGAGGGAGGCTAACTAGGCTAACGAAAATAAATAATACTCTTCGTAGCTCCCAGCTAGCAAGGGAGCGGGGGCTACGAAGAGTATTATTTATTTTCGTTAGCCTAGTTAGCCTCCCTCCTACTGCATTTTCACCCCTCCCGCGCACCGCTCCATAGGGGGCAGCAGTCCTCCGCAGGGCGCAGTGCTGCGGGCCGCAGTGCTGCGCCGCGAAGCGCGCGGCGCGTTCCCTCTTCGGAGCTGCAGGGAAGGTGGAGCAGCAGGAGCTCCGCAGGGCACATGCTTTATCAGCACCACCTTTGGAAGCTGTGATTGAGGCTACTATTGCTTCACACTAGCACTCCTGGTTGAGGAGGCGCTCCTGGCTCATCTGGATGCTAAAGCAATCCTCCGAAGGAGGCTAAGGCAGCCTGCGAATTAGGAGCAGACTAATAACCAGTAATACTTTCCTTGAAATTTTAATTAGTAATTCACCTTCATAATCGGGCGCTACGCACGCTTCAGAGGTAAAGCAGAAGCAGTCTGCGGACTCGAACTTGGTAACTGAGACCCCTCCAGCGGTGCTACGCACCCCCCGCTAAAGGAGAAGGAGGGATAGGTTATACTGCTCTTTACTCTTCTAGCCATCTTAGGGTGTGTATTGCAGTCGCGAAGCGTTGCATTACCGGGTGTGAAAGGGTACGGCTTCAGGAGTGTACCCTAGGATACGCCCTTCCCTCCCCTCCACCTTGGCTCTTTTACCTCCGCAACTTTCCTTTATCCAGCTTTAGCGCGTTCCGCGACTGCGGAGGTGCGTGAGCTACGCGGGGTGCGTTAGAGCATGAAGGGTTACTCCGAAGGAGCCCCATCCTTCGGTTCTAAAGAAGACCAGGAACGCTCCGAAGGGCGTAGCTTACCCCTCAGCTCTGGAGGGGCGGCGCTGTGCGGCGCTACGTAGCGGGAGCCTAGTTAGGACGTGGGATTACTCAACTACTGAAGCCGTGGAAGGGTGTGTGCTACTGTATATTTCTTAAGAAGAAAAAAAAAATTTTTTTTACCATTGACAGCCTTAACTTGTAAAAGTTAATGAGAAAACCTACTATATTGAAAATAAAAAGAACTTATAAAAATTCTTTATAGGTTACCGCCTCATGCTCTTTAGTGAGTATCTTTAACAAATAAAATAACCTTCTTTTTCTACTGAACCTTAGCCTACGAAGCTAATCGAGGCTACGCTCAACTTGAACTCGGCTGAGCCGATGAGGTGTGACCAGAGGGTAAGCAGGGAGAGCAATACTCATTCAAGTGCAACCTGGACTGCTAACTCTCTCCCAGCCTAACTTTAGCACCCCTCGCGCTTTGCTACTGCGAATCTCTGCAAAGTTAAGGTGAGGAGGGGCGGGTCGCGCAGCAGCGGTAGCAGGGCGACAGTGGAGCGTTGCAGAGATATTTACGGGCCTTTACGCATAGTTAATTTAGTAATATTCGATAGTTTTAGTAGTCTAATTTTTTGTTCTTAAATCTTCTGCTGCGGTGGTTCGCCTCCTGCTTGTTGGCAGGGTTCGTAGTCCCCTAGCGCTTCGCTCCCGCCGCGCTTCGCGACTGCGGAGGATGGGCGCGCATGCTGGAGCTTCGCGCTTGCGACCCTCGACTGCTTTGGTCATTAGTATTTAGCCAAAACCCTTTACTTTGCGGGAGATTAATAAAAAAATTTTTATTTTTAACCTTGTAAAACGGTGAGGCACTAGTAGAGCGCTTCCGCGTAGCCCGGTACCGCATATTACGGTACCGGGTTGCGGAGCGTGTGTACCCCGAACTAGAATAATTTTACACTCCACCTTAAGGATTATGAAGGTTACTCGGCAGGCGTGGGGAGGGTTGTGTAGGCTGGAGATTAAGGGAAGGGTGAATACTACCATACAGTCCTCGGTCCGCTGTCTGCCTCTGCTTTAGGGCAGTAGCGCCCGGGCTACCCGATTGTCCGCCCTGCGGGGCGAAAACCTGGGTTAGGTAGAGGGTAATCTTTCACTAGAGATATTTATTAATTGGTAGTGTACAATAACAAGCCACTCACTTCTGAAAAAGCTAAACTTTTAATAGACAAATGCTGCCTACTCCGCAAGCCCTACGCAGGGTTCGTGGTTGCGGCCTACGCGCTTGCGGCTTACGCGCATGCGCGCATGCTGCGTGCCTGCTGTGCTGCGAAGCCCTTTGTGCTACTTAAGCTGTAGTCCAGCTGGAGCATTCCGAGTGCGGAGAAATAAGGGCAACCCCCCTGCAGGCGAAGCACCGCTCCGCAGGTGTTTCGCGACCCTTGCTGGGCGCAGGAGAGTAGCGCGGGCGGGCAAGGGGTAACCGAAGGAGCAGGGCGCCCTGCAGGGCGCGAAGAGGTCTTCTCCTAAACAAAAGCTCCGGAGCGTAAAACCAGCCCTGCTAGCTTAAACCTCAAAAGGGGGGGGAGGGTTAGCCTCCAAGCCATGGTTAGCAAGCAGAAAAAAGACAGAGCAAGCTATCTAGTGGAATAATAGGTTGAAAAAATAAATTTTTTTTATTTAGTTTGCAAAAAATTTATTTTTTATTTAGATTGCAATAAAAAAATTATGAACTCGACTGTTCTCAATTAGTATACCTCCCTACACTTTCTCTTATTGTGCTCCCTCTCTACTAATGGAAAGTGCAATATAATAGGGGAGCACGCCCGAAGGGTGCGTAGCTACTGCTACAAAAAAAGAAATTATTAGCATCGACTTTTTTTACTTAAAATTATGCCCTCCCCACCCGCGCAGCGCTCCGCAGGGGCAGCAGTCCTCCGCAGGGCGCAGTGCTGCGGGCCGCAGTGCTGCGCCGCGAAGCGCGCGGCGCGCACCCCATTCGGAGCAGCGGGGCTGGTGGAGCAGCAGGTATTACGCGCATGCTGACCATAAGGCTCGGTGGTTTAGCGCTCGCCGCCCTGCCACCCCTCCCCTACGCACGCTCCGCAGGGCGCATGCGGAGCGAGGGATGCTTCGCGCCCGCCCACCCTTAAGGGCAAGGGAGGAAGCGAAGCGCGGGAGCGCGTGAGGTGGTTCTGCTTTAGCACTGCAGGTTGCTAAAGCTGCGCGGGTTTGTTAAGATAACTTATAATCCATATTTGGCGGTTTATTATTATTGACCTTACGTAGGCTCCGTATAAAAATAAATTAGAGAACTAAGTTCTGCTCGGCGTTTTCGAAAATAAGCGTACTTGAATAAACGGGAATGCTAAAGTAGAAGTGTACTAATTGCATGCGCCGCGCTTAATAAGATGATAACAAGTCTTTTTTAATTTATTATACCGGAAGATAGAATAGGTCTTATATATTAGTTGCAACCCTCTCGCTTGTGCGCTTATTTAAAAATTTTATATGTTCCAGTTTCAGGCGCTCCGTCTCTGCTAATATTAACCCTCTCTAGTGTTGCTGATTTATAATTTTAGCCTCAGGACAGTAGCTAGTTGCCTTACTGGCCTTCTCCTTACTTCAATGAGAGGAATGATTGCTTCAACCCTTGCACTCATACAGATACAGCCCCTCCCCCGCCGCGCTTCGCGACTGCGGAGGATGGGGGGCGAAGCTGGCAAGGTAAGGGCAGGGTCGGATCAGGTAATGTAGAGCTGGTTACGGCGTAGCCTCCAAGGGTCCAGATTAGGTAGAAAGGAGAGTCCCACTCTTCGATATATAACTTTGACTCCCACATATTATCGTACCGCAGCCTTCCGCCTGCTGCTAACCTATCAGGGAATGCGCTGCAGGGGGTAGGCCCTCTGTGTTGACTCAGATACCTAACCCCTCCCGTCAGCGAGCGAAGCTCTGAGGAGCTCCGCTGTCTCGAGGCCGCTAGCCCGAACTCTGAGTAGCGTAGCAGCTAAAGCACAGCAGGCCGTTGGAGCGAAGCGCGGGACCGAGTCTGATGGCTGACCCTTTGTTTGGTACCACAGCCTCTCCGCGTCTGCAGAAAAACCCTTTGTGCAATAACCGCCACAGCGCGAAACAGTACCCGCTAATAAGGGTGAGCGCTTCTCTGCGGTACCTAAAGCTCCTTCACTTGCTTCCTCAGTCCCCAAGCTTCGGAGCCTGGAGCGCTGGCTGGCTCTCAGTTGACGCGGAGCGGTTGCGCCTTTCGAAAGCACTACTCGCGTACCGCGGGTGCGGTGAGTATCAGTCTCGCATCTGCACAGTTGAGGGTGTCTTTAGCAACGCGCCCTACCCTCAGCTGGCCGTCTACTACTCAGCAATCGCAAAGGGCGCCTGGTGCAAACCCTTCCCGCGCTTCGCGACTGCGGACTGCTGTATTGCAGCTAAAGTAGAAGCACCTTGCGGAGTTAAGCTACCGGCAAGGGCAGTTTTACGGAGTCAACTCCTTACCAATATAGCCAGCCAGCCACCCGGTGTAACCAAAACCAGCCTGGACTCGAAAATACCTGGAGTTCAGTACTACTTCTCGACTCCGGCTTAGAGCTACTTCGCCTGCTTTACCTTCCTTCTGTTTTAGCTAGCCAGGCTAGGCTGACCGAAACATGCAGGCGCGAAGCGTGCAAGGCTCTTATCAGACCAGCGTAGCGCCGGAGTGCAAGAGGTCCAGGTAAAAGCAGACTACTGAGGCCACCCCACCTCCCTCCGTGCACGCCGCAAGGCGGACTGCTTTAGCACTGCAGTCCTCAGCAGGGCGCAGTGCTGCGGGCCGCAGGAGCGAAGCGCGAGGCGAAGCAGAGCGTAATATGGGACCGTAAAGGTTAAGCGTCAGGCTTTGTAATCTAAAACTAATATAGTTTTTGCACTTTATTAATATTAATTACTTCTTTTGAATTAAATGACAATATAGGTCAAACATTTAGTATTTATATAATATCAATTGCAGGTGCTGAATCAATAATAGGATTAAGTATAATAGTAGCATATTACAAATTAAGAGGAAATTTATTACTAAAAGTTTAATATATGAATCTTAATTTAATTATAATAAATATTGTAGCTTTACCTTTATTAGGTTCTTTTGTAGCGGGTTTTTTAGGGCGAAAATTAGGAGTTAAAGGTTCCCAATTTATTACTTGTTTATCTTTACTGCTTTCTTCAATCTTAATTAGTATTGCTTTTTATAAAATAGTACTATGTGGTGGAGAATCTATTAATTTAAATTTAGGTTCTTGAGTAGACTCTGGAGTTTTAAATATCAATTGAGAATTTAAATTCGATAATTTAAGTATTTCATTAGGTTTAGCAGTTTTATATTGTTCTACTCTTATTCACTTTTATAGTATTTCTTACTTAGAAACTGATGCCCATAATCAAAGATTTTTTGCTTACTTATCTGCTTTCACAGGAGGTATGCTAGTTTTAGTTTTTGGAGGGAATTATTTTGTAATGTTTGTGGGTTGGGAAGCAATTGGGGTATTCTCCTATTTGTTAATTAATTTCTATTTTACAAGAATACAAGCAAACAAAGCAGCTATATTGGCCTTTACTATGAATAGAACAGGGGATATGATATTAAGTATCGGTTTCTTTGCCTTATTTGGTTTATTTGGGACTCTTAATTACGAGTCTATTTTTTCATTAGCCCCTAGTGCTAATCAATTAGCTATTACTATTATTTCATTATTATTAATTGGGGGTAGTTTAGCTAAATCCGCTCAAATCCCTTTACATAGTTGGTTGCCTGGTAGTATGGAAGCCCCTACTCCAGTTTCAGCCTTACTACATGCTGCTACTCTTGTTACAGCGGGAATTTATTTACTATTAAGAAGTTCACCTATTTTAGAATATAGCCCTACAGCTTTACTAATATTAACTTTTATCGGTTCTACCACTGCTTTTGTAGCTGCTTCATCGGGGCTAGTTCAAAATGATTTAAAAAGAATTGTTGCCTTCTCTACTATTAGTCAATTAGGTTATATGATGATGGCTGTAGGGCTTAGTCAGTATAATGTGGCCTTATTTCATGTAGTAAATCATAGTTTCTTTAAAGCTCTACTATTTTTAGCTAGTGGTTCAATTATTCATGCAGTAGCTGATCAACAAGATGTTAGAAAAATGGGTGGACTGATTAAATTTTTACCCGTTACTTATTCCTTATTAATGGTAGGAACTATTTCATTAATGGCTTTACCTTTTGTTTCGGGTTATTATAGTAAAGATTTAATATTAGAATTAGCTTATAGTAAATATAGCTTTAGTGGAACTTATGCTTTTGTATTAGGTTCATTAACTGCTTTTTTAACTGCTTTTTATAGTTTTAGGTTAATAAGTTTAGTTTTCTTAACTTCGCCTAATGGGGGTAAATTAACATATTTAAATTCACACGAGTCTAGTTTTATAATGATATTACCTATGATTATTTTGGGTATATTTAGTATTTTTTTTGGTTATATCTTTTCAGATTTATTTGTTGGAATTGGTACTGATTTTTTAGCGGGAACTGCTTCTAAAGGAAGTGATGCATTATTTATACACCCTGATAATGTAACATTAGTTGAGGCTGAATTTAGTTTACCCGTAATTATTAAACTTTTACCTACTTTTTTAAGTATAATTGGAGCTTTATTAGCCTTATATCTATATAATAAAAATATTAATTTTATAATAAAATTAACTGAAACAATATTTATATCAAAAATATACACTTTTTTAAATAGTAAGTACTTCTTTGATGTACTATATAATAACTATATCATTAGCAAAGGATTTAAATTTGGTTACAAAATATCAGAAGAATTAGATAAAGGTGTTATAGAATTAGTAGGACCTTTTGGATTGTCTAATTTATTCACTAAGATCGCAAAAAATATTGCTAAATTAGATACAGGATTGATACCTTCATATATTATTTATATTATTTCAGGGTTTATGTTTTTAATTTCATTTTCTTTTGCTCCTTTAATTTTAGATGACAATTTTACAGATTTTACTACTCTATTAATTATTTACATCCCTACTTATATTTTTTTATTAATTTCTCCACAGTTGATACTATCAGAAGGAAGTAACTTGAAGCTGAATTAAAATTTATCTCCCCGCAGGGCGCAGTGCGCCCCCGAAGGGAGCGAAGCGCATAAAGCAGAACCACCGCTCCGCGCGCTCCGCTGGGCGAGCGCAGTGCGCTGCTGGCGAGCGCAGGAGCGAATCCTGCTCTCGCTTCGCGCTCGCAGGCAGTAATACGAGTTTAGAAACTAGGACCCTTCTTTATTAATAATTAGTTAAACTAAGGCTACTAATGATTACTACTAATGTCATTCAGCCCGCGCGCAAGTGTGCTCGCCCAGCGCTGCAGGGCGCAGGGCGGACTGCTTTAGCAACCTTCACTCGGCTGCTGCGCACTGCGGTCCGCAGGCGCGGAGCGGAGCGCGTGAGGGGAACAGATAAAGTTCCTAGAAATATACGTCACATAAAGGACTAGCGGAGACCTTGTTACCGCGCGCAGCAGAGTTAGAGCTATAACTCAAGTAACCTAAACAAAGAATCGCAGAAATATAACTGATACCCCCTTCCTGCTTTAGCACTTTGGGGGTCGCCTGGGTCCACTCGTCCAGCAAGGGCTGCGTACCAGTCCGCGCCTCCTTGAATTTAATTAACCCTCCTGCACCCTCGCCCTTCAGGTGGGGGTGCGCACCCCCTGCTACAGGAGGAGAGGCCCGCAGGCCGAGCGGAGTAGGATTGCTTTAGCATACTCCGTATTATCGTTCGCCTTGCCCCTGGTCTGTGCAGATTGTGAACCTGGATAAGCAACCGAAGTAAGCGGATCCTTATCTATCTTATATTAAGAGTGATATATCCTTAAAGCAATAGAGTACGAAGGAGATCTAGATGGTAGTGAAATTATCGAATAAAATAAAGACCGAGGAGGTATTGGGCAGCGATCCACTCGGCGCAAGCGGACCGCTAATTTAGCGGTCCGCTTCCCCTCGGGTCGGGGAAGGGTAGCGCACCTACCACACCGAGCGTAAGGATCGACTGCGGATGGGAGCGTGCAGAAGGAGGCGTGGATATCGTAGATCTGATAGAGGAGAGCGGGGATAATCAGCCCACCCGTTGGAGGTAGGTGAGCAAAAAATTATGAGTCCTGCAGCCGCCCAGCCTAGCTCTTTGTTCGGCACCCTCCCTCTTCTACCCTCGCTCGCTCCGCACTGGGCGCGGCCTGCGGAGCGTGTGAAGCGGAGCGAGGAAGAGGGCGGCTCCTCTGCTTCGCCACAAAGGGAGCGTAGCGCGCGCTGAGCGGTAGCGATGCTGTCCCGGCGTGTGCAAGGTAAAGCTGCAGTGCAGCAGCACGAATCCGCCGAGTTGGTGTTTAGGTTAGGGACAGGGCGCAGTGCAGCGGGCCGCAGGAGCGAAGCGCGTGAAGGGTTAAGCAAAGAATGAACTAGTATTGTAGATTAAACGCTCTACTTAAAAAAAGGTTTAATTTATTAAAATAAAAGATATAATTGCTTATTTTTCTTCAGTCCTAGTGCAAAGTCAATTCTTTAGAATTAAAATTTTATTCTCTTTTTTTTAAAAGTATAGTAATTTCTAAAACTAAGATTAAAAAATAATCTAGTTAAGGTTCTTTAAGGGTATATAAAAAAAGTATCAAATTTTATTATAAATAATAAGGGAAAATAAATAGAAAATAACAACGATTAAAAAAATTTTGTCCTCCTCCAGCATGCTGCGCTGCCTCTCCTTGCTTTAACGGCGCTCCGCAGGGGGCGCACTGCGTAACAGGAGCTACAATCCTGCGAATTCCCAGAGTCGAAGGACTGCTTTCTCATCTAGCGTCGCTGGTGCGAACCTCCAGCACTGCTAAGGGTTCGCAGCGCTGGAGGGACAGTGGAGGTTGAACAAGGGAGGGATAAATCCGCAGCCGTGGGCTCAGTCCCGTCACCAGTTACCTTCCGCCCTGCCGGGAGGCAGGCTCCAGCCTGTAATACTACGATTCAGGACCCTCGAGCAGTATGGGTTCAGGGCTAGTTTACGATAGCTAGCTTTGCTAAAGGAGAGAGTAGATTGTCTAACACTTAAGTTTTTGTTAAAAAATTTTTTATTCTTTAGTTACATACAATCCCACCACCAGACCAGCGCTGCCCCTTCCCGAGCAGGGCGGGACAGGGGGCTGGGCGCAGCACGCTCGCGCCAGCTTCACTGGACTGTGCTAAAGCAGAAGCAGTTTGCAGGGTACCAGGGCAGCTATAATCCTGGAGGGTTGCGCGGGCGCGAACCTTTTACATCATGAGGAGGTGCTCTACCTTAACTCTCGCACTCGGGGAGGGCACGAGGGAGGCCTTTGAGCTGAGCTTCTTGGTACCTTAGCTATAAGGCAGGTAACGAGTAGATTAGCTTAGGTTAACCTGCCGTTGTATTCTTATTAATAATTTAGTGAAGCTCTAAACCTGGAGCGATCTTAAGAGAAAGTAGTTAAGGTGTGAAACGTTAACTTACCAGCTAAGTATATAGATAAGTAAACAGCTATCCTACTGTCCGCAGACAGGCTCTCCCTCCCGCGGAGCAGGTAAAGCAGAAGCAGTCCTTTAGAAGCAACGGGCCCCACCAGCAACGCTCAGCACGCGACAGGTGGGGCAGCGTAGCCCCTCCGCGACAGTGGAGCATGCTGTGCTGTTGACTAATTTAAGCAGCTCGCGCTTTGCACGCTTCTCGGTTGCGGAGTATACCGCCTTACCTTTTATCTGCAAGTCACTAGTGATTTCACTCTAGTAACTTAATTTGTTTAAGAGGATTAAAGTAGAGCTCACTCTTTAAAATAACTCTTAGACCAGAGCCGATAAGCTATAGGCTATATCCGCGATTAAGAGGTCCCCTATCACGAACGCTTTAGCTTTTTGATTTGAGTAAAGGATTGTAGTATCTTTAATTGAGAATTTAACGCCCTATGCTTTAACCTAATTTTTTTTAGATATAATCTAGTTTAGCTTTAAATATTTTAAATAACGCCTGCCATTCCGCCAGCGGACCGTAGACGGGGTCCCTTGAAGGGTTAATTTTTCAGCCGGCCTGCGGAGTATCAATATTAGTTTTCTTGCCTTCATCTGGACCCCCTCCGCAAAGCTTCACGTGCAGTTGCGTAAGTGTATCCCCACTGAGTATATTAAGAGCCCTCCAGCCCTTTCCGATTACTGATACCCTTTCACTAGCTTGTAAAGCTGGATCCTTAGTGTTTATTTCCTCTCAAGAATCCAAAATGGCGCTTCGCGAGAGCGGAGTCCCTGCAGAGTAGTTCTACTTAGACTCAAGGATATTAATAAGAGGGTTGTGCAGCAGTCACCCTTGCATGCTAAAGCAAGGTAGTGCTACCCCTTCGGAATGTTGCAGCGCTGCAGTGGTTACCCTGTTGTGGTAAAAAAATATATCCGCATATGATTGTATACTGGGAAAAAAACAAAAACTTTAAAGTTAATTAGCACTAAAAAAGTCTTACAGAAATTCTATTAAATACACTTGTTGACTGGTACAACTAAAGCACTCCAATTTAATACTTCCTTAATTCTTAGTTTCCTCCCTGCTTGATTCAGTGGTCTAGTTGTTCTAGTTTTAAGAAGTTCATAGGTTCAGCCCTCCTACGCTGCAAAGATTCACTCCCCTGCTGTCCCTCAGAGGCAGCGCAAGGAAGCCGCGTTGCCTGCGGTAGCTTGACTCTGCCTGCAACCGTAGCTCACCAAAAAAACCAGCCTGCACTCCGAAGGCTCCAGTTCTATACCACCCGCGCTCGCCCTTACCATACTCGCTACCATACCTACGCAGGCGAGAAAAGCAGAAGGATCCTTACGAGCAATGCCAGCCCTCAGGGTTCTCCTCTTGACCGTTGGTTAGGACCCTTAGTCTCGCAGCAGTAGCGGACGTAAGCTGAGGAGAGGCTAATAAATAAATTATAGTCTCTAGTTTCTATCATCTAGCATCTAGCATCACCTTGTTTAAATAGCGCTTTTTAATTTAAGCTTCTTTGGTATAGTGGTTAAAACAACTTCCCTTCACGAAGTAAAGATCAGTTCAATTCTGGTAAGAAGCTTTATTTTTCAACCTGAAGCATAGCAACTCGGGGCAGCTCCTCTCCGTACCATCACTAGCTTTAAAGATTCTGAAGTACATTTGTACTACTAACTAATTACTTCGTTATACTTACTAACTTTACGAAAGTATACCAGCCTTTTTATACCCCTTGTGGGGAATTAGAGCGCAGTAGCCTTATATCTAAGGTGTAAAGGTAGACTCAGCAAAGCTCTGTAAGACCTCGAAGGTTTTCCCCTTCGCAATTAGTCAAGGGAAACCGTAGGTTCAGATCTGATAGCAGCACCCCTCCTGCTTTAAAGGGGAGCGAGCTAACCCCCCCCCCTTCCCGCCTTCGGTGTGTACCCCTTCATAATCCGAAAAGGGTGCGAAGAAGCAGCACTTATTATGCAAAAGAGGGTATTCCGAAAGGGAAGCACCCCGGCACTGCTAGAGTAAAGGGGCGGCCAGCACCACTTCTCAAGGCGAGAGTTTGTTTTGCGCTTTGCACGCTTCGCGCTTGCATTGTTAATGGTAGGTGTTCTTAATTCGGAGGCGCAGCTCGTGCTCCGCTGGTCGATTTTTTCCTTATCTCTAGTAAAGCGAGGGTCGCAGCTGCTTTAGCTACCGCAGGGCGGTGGTTCTGCTTTAGGGCTGCAGGGTGTCCGTCTGATACGACTAAAGTATTGTGCCAGCCTGGGGGTTGCAGTGGTCTCCGCAACCCCACTAGCAGTCGCTGCTTTAGCATCCTGCCCCAGGCAAACCCGATAAGAGGCAGCGCGAGTCGCGAAGCGCGGGAGGGAGCGAGCGCGAAGCGAGAGCAGGGCGCCCTGAGCCGAGGCAGCACGGCTGGGCGAGAGCTTAAAAAAACACTTAGGACCACTGTCGCATTCTATTGTAAAAACAAAAATTAAAAAAAAAATATAATAAATTTTGGACCGCTTTTAGAATTAGCGTTAAGGCAGGTGTAAAAATGCCTTGGACGCTTACCTCTACTAATGCCAAAGAGATTGGTACCCTTTATTTAG